CTCTTTCCTTTCCTAACAAAGATCTGCCAAAGCTCTAAAGCAGAGGTGTCAAACTCATTTGTTAGGAGGACTGGATCTGACATAAATGTCACTTTGTTGGGCTGCCTCGTGTATGCTATAAAATGTAATGTCAGATACCAGAGATATAAACTTTATAAAAGTCAGCAGCTGGTAAGCTCTGAGTTAGTGTGTCCTCAGGCTGCCTAGCGACCAGTATAACTGGAAATCATCGGCACTGCCCCCCCATGAGACAGCAGCTACCTATGGCTGCTGGTTGGTCCAGGGGGGAGGAAGGCCCAACCACTGACTCACATGCTTGGCAGCAGGACCAGGCCCCCAACTTGCGGACAAAACTGCCAAAGAATCCTCCCCCCCCCCCGCTGAAGCACAGCCGCTGCATGGAGGGGTGCGAATGTGGCAGCAGCACTGGCTGCCAGCAGGTCCCAGCAGAGGGTCAACTGCAAACCCACACACATACACATGCAAACGCCAAACCCCGCAGCCATCTGGGACAGCATCCCTGGAGCTGCAGGCCGAGTGGAGAGCCTTGCAACCTCGCCTTGGAACCCGGAGCTGGCATGAATGTGGTTGCGACAACCCCCTACTTGACTGCTGCAGACAAGGCTGTTCTGCCATGCTGAAGCCACGATCGAAGAGGCTATGCCCGTTTGCACCCCGTGAGCAGCTTCCTGTTCCCTCCCTCATACCAGTTGCTCATGGGCTAGATACAGCATTGGATGGGTTGGGTCTGGCCCATGGCCTGCATATTTAACACTCCTGCTCTAAAGCTTGAGCCGAGGAAAAACTGCTGCTGGCTGTTTTTTGATGTTAACTCCATTAACCTGAGACCGACTAACTGGAGGCCTTCTGCTTGGGTCAAATGGTTCCTAGCTTGTGCAGAGAGGCAACAGCAACACTGTCCCCAGAGACACCTCCACAGAACCAACAGGAGACCCAACAGAACCCTTTTGCTTAAGCTGGCAAATTTCTGGGATGAGCAGAAAGATGACTGCAGGCTCTGTGGTGCTGTGAAGGAAAGATTGGTTGTGGAGAGCAAGGGTCTGGCCCTGGCTCCTCCAAAAGGTTTTGGCAGAGCATGTGTTATGCTGGGTGTTCTTCACTTACTCCCGTGTTTTCTCACTTCATGAAAAACCCTGGCCACTTTCGAGTGACACTGAAGATCATTAGCTCAGCCAAGCAAGGCAGATTCTCAGTTGGGTAAAAAGGCCAGTTCAAGCTTAAAACGAATTTGGGGATATTAATTGTCATAGTAAAATATGCATTTGGAAAGGCTCCATTGTCAAGTTAGCAGCATCTCAGAAGAACTTATTGGGAGGTACAAAGAGGAACGTATACTATTGGGTAAGCAAATGATCCTGCCAATCTTTATAAAACTTAACATCTTTTCAAACAATATAAACCGAGATTTGCCAATGGCCTGAAGTGCATGATAGGTAGGGTAGATATATTATTTGACAATCTACAGGCAGCGATAAAAGTTAATAGAAATAGGACTTTTATTCCTGCCTTCTAGCCATTTCCAGTAAGCTTCAGTTTTACAAGCTTCAAGGACTTCCAGCACCCTTGGGATAATAAGTTTGATTCATGCTCTTGGCACGACTGTTTATAAAGATTTATAGCTATTTCTCAGTGC